GCTGCGTACCCAGGTCCCCACGCGGCCTGCCCAGGTCCCCACGCTGCGTACCCAGGTCCCCACGCGGCCTGCCCGGTCCCCACGCTGCGTACCCGGGTCCCCACGCTGCGTACCCGGGTCCCCACGCGGCATGCCCGGTCCCCACGCTGCGTACCCAAGTCCCCACGCGGCATGCCCGGTCCCCATGTGGCCTGCCCGGTCCCCACGCTGCCTGCCCAGGTCCTCACGCTGCATACCCAGGTCCCCACGCTGCGTACCCAGGTCCCCACGCTGCGTACCCAGGTCCCCACGCGGCATACCCGGTCCCCACGTGGCCTGCCGAGGTCCCCACACGGCGTGCTGAGCGGCCGGGGCCTGGGATCCGCACTCACTCTAGCCTGGCAGGTGCAGTCCACAGACCGTGTAGCTGGGATCTGCAGGAGCAGGTGGGGTGTCAGAGAGCACCCTTTAAGCGCCCTGCAGGTCACAGGACAGTTATGGACCTGTGCTGACTTGCCCCTTCTGCTCCATACTGGACATGCGGCTCTGCCCCAGCCTGACTCGAGGCTGCATAGCCTGTCCTGAGCTTTACGCCCTTCCAGACAGCAGCTCCCCACACATGGAAGGCCCCTCCTGAGCCCTCCCCTGCTAGGGCCTCTTCAGAGAGCAGGACTGCCTGGTCGAGAATTCCAGAAACACACAGACCCAGACAGTTCACACACACACACACGTCCATACACACACAGTGAGGGCTCTCCAGTCCTCGCTCTGAGCGTGCCCTCTGCCCTGCAGGACGTGCACCACGGGAACGGGACACAGCAGGCCTTCTACAGCGACCCCAGCGTGCTCTACATCTCCCTGCACCGCTATGATGATGGGAACTTCTTCCCGGGCAGCGGGGCCCCAGACGAGGTCAGTGAGGTCCTGGCTGCCCCTGTAAGGGGGAAGGAGGGCTGCAGGCAGGCCTGACACGTGGTTTCCTCTCCTTGAACACAGGTGGGCACAGGCCCCGGCGTGGGCTTCAACGTGAACATGGCCTTTGCCGGCGGCCTCGACCCGCCCATGGGTGACACCGAGTACCTGGCCGCATTCAGGTGAGACCCTGGTGGGCCGTGATCCTGCGTACAGGGCGGCGAGTTCACCCAGTGTCCCTCCGCATCCCCCTCTCGGCTCCAGGCTGAGGGACCTCATGATGAGGTGTGTGTCCACAGCTGCCCGGAGCGTGGAGGGGCTGGTGTGGACCTCCAGAGCGGTGAGCTGGTCCTGAGAACAGGGCAGGACAGCCGAGGGCTTTCTGGTGGCCATGTCCTGGGGGATGTCCACTGAGGTCATGTGACGTGGCACCAGTGCTGCCCCTCTGTTCCTGGCGAACTCGCGAGGCAGCTGTGGACACTCCAGCCCCGCCTCCCTCCGGCCCTTTAGACATGGCAGCAACCGGCTTTCAGCCTGCCATCTGCCGCTGGGCTGCAGTTTCCACTGTGCGTCCGGCAGGTGAAGCGGCAGCGGGGGTGGTCACAGTGTGGTGCCGCAGACAGTCCTGACCAGAACCCTGTACCTGTTAGCAGAGCTGTGTCCTCAGGGCCTCCCCCCTCCTGTGGCCCACAGTCCTGCCCGGCCCGTTGTACCCAGTGTGTCTCAGCAAGGTGTGAACGTCTGTGTGGACATGTGTGTCTGTACCTGAGTCACGTGCGCTGCTGTTCTCAGATGTGTGCAAGTCTGTGTGCACAGGTGCCCTGTGGGCTTGTGTCCTGTGTGTGTGACCCTTGTGTACCTGTCGTGTATGTGCGTGCACCTGGATGCCTTGGATGAGAATGTGCTGGAACATGTCTGTGTTCCCTTCTGTGCACGTGCCTCTGTGTGCACTCTTGTTTGTAGGTGTTCTGTGTTTCTCTTTGTGCATGTATTTCTGTGTACACACTTCTCGTATGCCTGTTTCTCTGCGTGGTTTTCTGTGTGCGTTTCTCTGTGTACATGTGTGTGGTTTTCTCTGAATGTGGCATGTCTCTGTTTGCACACATGTTCGCCTTTGTGCCGGCACGCACCTCCACGTGAAGGAATCTGGATGGGACTCTGGGGTTCTGATACAGATTTGGCCACGTGCCGTCAGGCGTAACTTGGACTCTGGGGTTCTGACGCAGACCCGGCCATGTGCCGTCAGGCGTAACTTGGACTCTGGGGTTCTGACGCAGACCCAGCCGTGTGCCGTCAAGCGTGGCTGACGCAGTGACCCACTCCCAGTGCCTAGAGCTTCTCCCAGAAGCAGCGACTTGGACAGGCCCTCGTGGTGGGTCTGGGGTAGGGGCCCAGCCTAGAGTCAGTAAGTGGAGTGACCTGCAGCCCCTCAGGGTGCACCAACCTGCAGGGTAGAGATGGGGGCACCCCTCGGTCATTCACAGAAGACCCGGTCCTCACCTCTCACTTCAGAGGCTGGTCCATCATTGCCCGCCCTCTACCTGGGGGACTTAAGACTCTGCCAGCATCCGAGTTAGCGTCCTCCTCAGCCTCAGCCAGGCCATCTGGGTCTCCGCTGTCCAGGGGGCGAGGACGTGACCGTGCCTCTGAAAGCCAGCAGCGCAGATGTGGACCCATTTCAGCAGCAATGTAGCTGCAACACGCAGTGCCCACCAGCCCTCACCTCCTGCCCATCTCCAGCCAGTCGTCCTGCCTGCACCTCCATTCTTGAGCTCCCTGGGTCTGGGGCACAGGGCCAGGGCTGGTGGAGGCATCTCGGTGGCATGACTCTTCTGTCCTCCCCAGGCCCCGGCACTGCTCAGCCGCTGAGAGGAACCCTTCTCTGGGAGGCCCGTCCAGTCTGTGTTCCGCTTCTGCAAGTGTGGGTCCCTTAGCAAGTGAGCTTTGTGAGGGCCAGAGAGCCCTTCTGAAAAGGAAAGGGTCCAGGATTTGTTTTCTTGATTTTAATGCAGAATAGACTTGAGACTCACAGTGTAGGCAGGAAGGGGATGGGGCTGGCTTGCCCCTTTCCTTCCTGGACCCCATGGGACCGGCCTCACCACATCACCCGCCACCCCACAGTTTGAAGGGTTCAAGCTTGTGATGAAGAGAAGAAAATTGCCCCTAGTGAGACCCAGAAGCAGTAGGTGCTTCCTGCCAGCTCAGAGGCTCAGAGAGGACAGTGATTCAAACCAGTCCCCACACCTGGATGTGACGCGCGCTCTAACCTCTCACTCACCTGCCACGTCCCCAAGGGCCTCTGACGGCAAACAGAGCGGGCTGTCTGCCTCCTGTCTTGTTACACTTGGACATGAATGTGGTGCATGAGGTCGACCAGGTTCTGCGCCATCCACGCAGAGACCAGGGCCCCAGGCCTGCCTGGTGTGCTTCCTGCACGGCGGTCAGTGGAGGCTGTGGTACCACGGCTTCGGGGAAGCTTCCAGAATAGGAGAGTAAGGAAGGCAGGCCTGGTGGGATGCAGCATCCTGGCCCCAGGGCGTCTCCAGTGTCAGCTTCTGATGGGCACTCTGCAGGCCTGGGGGTTCTGATCCAGCCCCAAACATGTGGGCTGTGACTGGGCAGCATGTGGGAGGGCCACGGACACCCCAAGATGGCTACAGCCGTGGGGATTCTGGACAAGTGGAGGGACCCTGAGCTCAGGCTCAGCATGGTGTGTGCAGGGCTGAGGGACCAGGGTGGTGACCTGAGACGGGCAGAGGGCAAGGGACACAGCCCACTCACTCGTCACAGGAAGTAGCCAGGCTGAGTGGCTCTGACCAACCTCTGAGCCCACGAGGGGCTGGCCTGGGTTTGGGAAGCAGTCAGAGGGGCTGGAGGACATCCTGCTCCAAGCTCCTAGGAGGCTGCGGACACGGGGGCCCTGCCGGTGGGCAGATGGTAAGGTTCCGGAAGAGTCTGGAACACAGCAGTGTCTTCCTGACACTCGCAGCCATGGTGGTCAGGAGCCCTCGCCGTCTGTTTCCGGGGCATCCTGAGCGCCTCAGTACTAAGTCTCCACTTCTGAAAGGTTCATGGCAGAACTCGTCGAGTGGCGGTGTCATCTTGACGCCGTAGCAGCCATGCTGGTGAGAAGCCCTCATTGTCCCATCTCTGAGTGGACACATGGATGTCTGCAGCCTCGAACAGCCCAGAGCCACCCCTGGGCCTCAGGTGGCCTGCAGCAAGACTCACCTGGAGTGACCTGTCACAAAGTGGTTGACGAGGGACACTAGGGGCTGCCCATCTGAGAGGCTCAGGTCCTAGAAACAGGCGCTGGGCTTCTGCTTCTCCCCGGGTACCTGCTGTGGCCGTGGTCCAGCTCCCCGGCCCCTCCGACGAGGCCCCGCTCTCGGAGGTGGTCCTCCTGTGTGTGCCACCAGCACACTGCTGACCTGTGAGCCGCGTGAGGGTTGGGGACACCAGCTGCCACACGCTCCGAATGCCGTGTGTGGTGCACAGCTGACCCTGGAGCGGGGAGGGCTGACCTACTCGGGCCTAGTCCCCAGAGACCTGCTTCCTGTTGCCACCACGGTGAACTCCAGGGTCCTAGTGTTCACTTCAGTGCACCACAGGGCCTGGTCATCTCTGTGTGGACAGCTCCATGCCAGGGGAACTGACCTGTGATGTCCAGGGCCCAGTACAGCTTACAGAAAGCTTGGCTGGCCTCGTACCACCCAGACCCTCAGCTGCATCTCAGCTGACTGTCCACCTTCTCCCCACTGGGCAGTACTCGTGCCTATCGCTGTGTGCTGAGGGGCCATGGCCTGGTTGGCCTCACTGCCGCCTGTGCCTCAAGTGGACACCCTCCTCTCCCCACAGGACAGTGGTCATGCCCATCGCTAACGAGTTTGCTCCAGATGTGGTCCTGGTGTCCTCGGGCTTCGATGCAGTAGAAGGCCACCCCACGCCGCTTGGGGGCTACAACCTCTCTGCCAAATGTAAGTGGGCCGCAGCTTGCCGGGGGCAGGGCCCTCTGCACACTCGCATGCCAGGGCTGACCAGTCACTTAGATGGCAGCAAGCGCAGGCTGGAGTCCAGAGGCCTGTACAGGCTCCGGGTCCCGTGTGGCCATGTGAGCCTGCTGCGCCCGGGCCGGAGGCGGGGTGCTCACCTCTGCGGCCCTGATGCACACCTGTGCTGGGCCCGTCCCTGGCTGTGCCCGGCAGATGCCCTTCACGAGGAGGGCCAAGGGCTGGAGGAAGGAGCAGTGTGAGGACCTGGCCCTGCCGCAGGAGAACTGGGATCGGGGCTGCAATGCTGCTGTGTTTGTCTTGGAGGATGAGACCTGGAGGAAGCAGTGGACTTGGGGGGGGGGGTGAGTGAGTGTGTATTTACAGACATCTGCACGCGTGGGAGTGTGTACGTGTATACAGACATCTGCACGCATGGGAGTGTGTACGTGTATACAGACATCTGCACGCACAGGAGCCCATGCATGTGAGCGTGTACATGTCTGGCGTGTGTGCATACGTGGGCTGTGTTCCTGTGCCGATGTGAGTGTGCTGTGTGTGAGGGCACACCCGTGCAGAGCCCCCAGCCGTGGGGGGTGTGGCCATGTACTGAAGACCTGGTGTCCCCTGGGAGTGAAGAGCACCTGCCCTCTCAGGGCTCAGTGATCCCTGCAGAGCTGAGCCACCTTGGAGCCCTGTGAGCCCATGTGTGAGTGTGTGTGCCTGGTCAGTGGGGTCAGTGGCTGCAGAGCGAGCCCTGGTCCCGCCCGCCCAGCGCACTGCAGGGCAGAGCTCCAGGTGACGTGGAGTCCCCAAGTCCCAGCCGCAGGCCTCACCTGGCTCAGCCCTCCACCGCTTGGACTCCCTGTCCCACTGCAGGCTTCGGGTACCTGACGAAGCAGCTGATGGGGCTGGCTGGAGGCCGCCTCGTGCTAGCCCTCGAAGGTGGCCACGACCTCACAGCCATTTGTGACGCCTCAGAAGCCTGCGTCTCCGCCCTGCTGGGAAACGAGGTACGTCATAGGTAACTGTGTGTCTGTGTGTCTGCTGGACACGAGGCTGTTGTCTGTCTCTGCGTGCGCCGGGGATGAGGCACAGGATTGTCCATCTATCTGTCAGTCTGTGTGTATGCCGGGGATGAGGCACAGGGTTATCTGTCTGTCCATCTGTCTGTCTGTGTGCGCACTGGAGGCTGGAGATGGAGAGGTACAAGGCTCTCTGTCTGCTGGGAAGCTAGGTATCGGGCCCTGGGCATGTAGGCCAAGGCCGGGATCCAGGCTGCCCCAGGCCTGTGCACACCATGTGTCTGTGTTCGCTGAGCTCTCCCCAGCCCCCACTCTGTGGCCTCTGAACTAGTCAGAGCCCAGGAAGGTAAAAGCAGGTGGTCCGGGCATGTTTCACATGTGCCCCCCACTGTCTGCCCTCTGAGAGTCAGTCCCTGTGTCCCCGCTCCACCTCACTGTGGACGGTCAGCCCTGTGTCCCTGCACTGTCCGTCCGAGGGACAGGCCTGTGTCCCTCTGTCTCCCATCCATGTCAGAGTCAGCCCCACACCCTGGCACTGTCTGTCCCCTAGAGGGGGAGGAGCGGCCTGCTTTGGGGTCAAGTCACAGGCTGCGTGTCACCTGGTGAGGACGTGCAGTAGACACCCAGAGGCACAGGTGTCAGCGTGTCCTGGCCCTGTCAATACCGGAGGTGGGGGCTGTTGGAGGGCCTCCTGTCCTCGGATGAGATGGGACGCCAAGTCAGGTGCGGGGACCATCATGACAGACACTGAGCTCAGCCAAGGGAAAGGAGGAGCAGGCCCAGGACAGAGAGGACCCCTGTGCAGGGCTGTGTCGTCCCTCCTTGCTGACCGCTCTGAGGGAGGGGCATGAGGAGCCGGTGTGTGTCAGGAGCAGGTCACAGGTGGCCCTGGATGGAAGGGGCCTCCCCTGTCACTGGTGAGCAGGTTAATGACAGCCCACACCTTCACGTGTCGCTGCCCTGCCCACCGGCCCCTTCAGCTGAAGCCCCTCTGCCTTGATCTTGCCACGTGGACTCCCTGCTGCCGGCTGGTGCTCCCTCTGGGTTTGTGATCGTTGACGGCGGTGATGCACAGCTGCGCGAGGTTAGGAGAGACAGCGGGTGCAGCCGCGGCGTGCCAGCGGGCCTCCCGGTGAGGTGCAGATTGTCGTATCCCTGAGTCCCATGGTCCCGGGGCGCCCCAAATCCTCTTCCCCCACGGTCCGTGTAAAGTGCCTCATGATGGAAGCGGGACTGTCCTACCGACTCCTTACTCCTGACCGAGGATGGCCTGTCGTGCCTGGGACAGTGACCACGGGACCTGGTGGCTGATCCCTTGACTGTGTGGAGCCCAGGGCCCGGTCATTTCCACATCAGGTCATGTTCCTTGGCGGCTGGTGATTTGTTGAGTTGGGTTCAGAAGGGGGAGTGTGTGTGGGAATTTGTCTCTGTTGCCATGTTCATATGTACAGTGTGTTGGGCTCGGAGGTGAGATGCAGAGACGGGGTGTAGGACAGGTGTGGGGGTGTGTGTGAGAGTATGGAGTATTATGTACCTGAAACAGGTGGCAGGGGAGGTCCGAGACAGAATGTGCAGTGTTAGACCTGAAACAGGTGGAGGGGTGTGTGTTAGAGCGTGGGAGGTGTCTACCTGAGACGGGGTGGCGGGGGGGATGCACGAGTGTGGGCCGTAAACCTGAGACACATGTGAGGTCGTGTGTGAGAGCGTGGGGGGGTATGCCTGAGACAGGTGTAGGGGGTGAGAATGTGGGGGGTATAGTGAGACAGGTGTGAGATTGTGTGTGAGAATGTAGGGTATTTGCGTGTGACAGGTGTGGGGTATGTATGTGAATGTGAGCTGTATAACTGAGACAAGTCGGGGCACGAGAATGTTCCTGCGACAGGTGTGGGGGGTTGTGCCTGGAGATGGTGTGGGGTGCCTGCCTGAGACATGGATGCCGAGAGCCAGTTTCTGCTCCTGGTGTCTTCACACCACCCTGTCCTTCCCTCCTCTATGTCTGTCTGTCTCCCCTCTCTGTGTCTCTGTCTTCTCTTTCTCTCTCTGGCTCTACCAGTCGCTGTGTCTGTCTGTCTCTCCCTCTACTCTTCTGTCCCTGGTATGTTCCCGTCTCTGTGAGCTCTGTCTGTGTGGAGTTGCATGTGTGGTGTGCAGGGTTCATGTCTGTGTTTTGGGGTCCTCTTAGTCGGAAGGATTTTGTTATGGGCTGTGTCTCCTGGGTAACACTCTGATTTAGTGATTTGTTTTCAGTGACTTCCATTCATTAAGATTTTTATTCCTTCTTTGGTCAATTTTGGAAAATGCTGCTTTACTAGGAAGCAGCTCACTTCAGCCGAGCTTCCAGATTTCTCTCTCAGCAGTGATTGCTGGTGTCCTCTTGTCGGGTGCTCCTGCACCCCAAGGATCCCACACCCTCCAGCCGCTGTCGGTGCACCTGCTCGAGGGTCTGCCTCTCTTTCACTGACCTCTTGCAGCTTGATGTCCTTTTCCAAGGACCAACCCCTCCTGGCCACATGCCCAGGTTTCACCATGCATACACCCTGCTTGCACGACCTCTGAGACAGGTGCTCGTTGGCAGCGTGCAGACATTCAGGACTCTCCATCGCCACCACTCAGAGGCTCTGCTGGATCTGCGTCCGCAGCCTCCTCTTATTCCTGGGTCACCTCATCATGTTATCTGTTGACCACGTGGCCAAAACTTGCTGAGTTGGTGGATCTTTTCAAAGGATCCATTTCCTGCTTCAGTGTCTTTTTTATTTTCTACTTTATTTCCTTTGATCTTTGAAACAACTCTGTCCTCTTGGTCCTCCAACAGGCTCCCACTTTTTTCCTGTCTCTTATTCCTCCTGTCACAGGGCCAGCTCGGGGCTGGGCTGCTGGTAACATGAAGCATTTTCGTCATTTATAACTCAAATGCTTTCTGATTTCCACTTTGATTCTAACATGTTTTTTTGACCCACACTCAATGGTGTTTTTATTCTCAGACACTGGGATCTTGGTTCTTTTTGTTACCTTCAAACGAACTGCACTAAGGCGGGACAAGAGGGGCCGTCTTGGAGCATTCTAGACGGTGCAGGACGCGGCCAGTCCTCGAGGACCCAACATGGGAAACGGTGTTTAACCACCTGCTCTGCAGGGCTCTGTGTGAGCCTGGCCTGTGAGCCGCGTGGGCTGTGTTCCCTGGTCCTCTGTGTGTCCACGCGTCTACACTCGCTCTCTCCCTGTGTCCACACCGTCTACACTCGCCGTCTCCCCGGGTCACCTCAGGTGCTGGTTACCCTTCCCTTAGTCTCCCTGATTTTGAACTCCCAGCCTGCTGTCTCTCAGAGAAGCAGGATCGCCGTTCGGCCCGGCGAGGCTCTCCCAGTTTCCGGGCTGACTGAAGGACGTGTGAGGCTCAGATCTCAGTGTCCTCCCGACGGTCAAGGTTTTCCTCTCTGTACACGTGCTCTTCGCTTCCCAACATCCCTCTCCCACGTGCGGCCTTGACGACAGGGAAAACCTCTGACCACCCTTCCGTGCATAAGCATCCCATCTGACAGGAAGGACTCCAAGGTCAAAGTGACAGTTATGGCTCCAGAGCAGCCTGGCTGGACCACAGCTCGTGATGATCTGGTACTTACGCAGTGATGGACGTCCACCAGGGAGTTCTGGTGGCCGTGTAGTGTGCATTGCCAACCCAAAGACAGGCAGTTCGAGGCCACCACCTTTCTCACAGAACAAAGATGTCCAGTCCCCTTCTGCGTGATTTAGTCTCCGAAATCCCGTGGAAGGCCGGCTGAGTTGGTTCTGACTCAACAACACAGAGCTTGAACTTGAGAACTTGACAGTTGTGTTGGTTTCGTTTGGCAGTTCTGTAATAATAGACCGTTCTGTGATGTGATTCCCTCGTCCTCCACTGTTACGGCCTGGCCTTTGAAACCTGGCCACGTGGGAAAGCGAGGAGGAAGTGCATAGTGAGTGACCGTCTCCAAGTGCAGGCGCCGCGTGCCTGACACGGAAGGTGTTACACCGCCCTCGTTCTGTGCATTGTGTGCCGTGTTCCATCCTTACCTTCCAGGCTTCCTTGTGTGGGGGGAGCCTCTGTGATGAGCGGGCAGCTCTGTCTGATTCCATGTGTGTCCACTACAGCAGCCTGTGCTTTAAGGGCTCGAGAAAGCATGCAGTTGATGATGCTCTTCCCAGACCCACTCTACCCTTCTCTTTTGAGCTGGGCCCCTTTCTCTATGGCCCGGTCCTTTTTTTTCTGTCTTGCCTTCTCATCCGTTGTTCCTTCCTGGCCTGGTCTCCTGTCCCCAGGCCCCTCTAACCCTGCCGTTTCTTCTCTGTCATCCTCTTCACAGGCAGCGTGGAGAGGTGCTGGCCAGGCTCTCACAGGCTGCCCTTGCTCTCGGCATTGCTCCTGGTGGAGCTGTGGCCGTGTCCACCTGGGGGGTGAGCCCTGGGGTGAGCTGCGGCCATGTCCACCTGGGGGTGAGCCCTGGGGTGAGCTGTGGCCGTGTCCACCTGGGGGGTGAGCCCT